CTACAGCTAAACCCCCAGTCTCCAAAAAGGGCCATTGTAGCCAAATTGCTTGTTGAGAAAGGCCATTGGCTGTGGCCATGCTGGATGGCCTGGGAATTGTTTCAGAGAGTGGGCAGAGGGCAGTTATGTGTCAGGGGCCTTCTTGCAGCAGAAGAAAATGGACCCTTGGACTGGAGAGGTCGTGGAGCTCATCATCCATGCAGAAGACAGCCTGGCTTGGAGATGTAGAGCTGGACAAGTCCCTTTTTTTTTTGGTGACTAAGACTCAGGAGCTTTGCAAAAGCCAGAATAAATCACCCCACATGTCCCTTATCCTCCCTCTGCCAAGAACCAGCCATGACTCACATGAGGAACCACCTCCTCTGAGGTGGTGCCTTCTGGGTTTTCCTTCAGGGAACCCCCTTCCCTGTTTCCTCCAGTGAGCAGCTTGTTAAAGTCTTGCATGCCAAGGCTTGATGCACTTCCCTCTTTCACAACAGCAGGCAGTGTCATTCTCTTCTGACAACCCATTGACTTCATCTAAACTCTGATGCTCTCCCATGGCTACGGGTCCTCAAGGTGTCTCATTGCCACCAGGTTGGTTACCTCAACCCCTGGCTCTGCACATCCTTTGCAGCTCCAATAGCTCTTAGGAGATGAGAGAGGAAAAGGGGGCTCTTGGCCAATCTCCTTCCACTCTTAGTCCTCCACCCACTGCTGCCCAGACTTCCCAGTTCCTTGAATTCATGGGTCCAGCCTTCCTGGTCACTCCTACCCAGGGTTCTCCCAGGGCCACCTGGACTCTGTATCTCTTTTTATTGTCTATTAGGAGGAAGCCCCATGTGGCAGTAGCCTTCTCCAGAACATTTTTGCCCTTGTTTTTCAGCTCTCTTCACATCTGTGTTGCTTGGAGGTCTGACCTGAGAGTTTTTCAGGTGTCTTTGCAGGGTAATTTCTCTGCTACCTTTGCCAAACACTCAACAGCATCTCCCAGTGATAAACATCTGGGTTGATCTGGTGAAGGCAGACTATAATTTAGACTCTCTAACTGCATGGAGGGGCTAAAACTGTAGAGGAGAGACATCAAAACCAGAAAGTCTGCCTTGCACCTGGACACCTCATTTGGTGTTGGCCACAAAGGGCTTGAAGTGCTTTTCCAAACTTCTGAAGCCCATGTGGTTACCACATTGATTGTGCCAGTAAAGGTGGGCAGAACATCATGGCTGTATCAGTGCCAGAGCTGGCACTAAGCTGCTCCACCATCAGATGGGAACCAAATCTTCCACACGTGATGAGTGGAGAAAACCACTCGGGCTTCACAGACAGGACCTGTGTCCCAGACTGTGGCAGGGAGAATGGATCAAGGAGGAGCTTGGAGAAGAAAGGTTGAGAACCTGCCTGTGGAAGGGAGGGACCTTCAGAGGATGCCAGGACAGAGACTGGTGACCCTAGGACTGGGTGAGGACACCATGGGGACACCCTTCCCACTTCACTCCAGTGGTGACTGCCCATCGTGGTGCTTCAGGTACCCCAATGTGGAGTCTCACCCACCGCCCCAAGGACACTGCAGCTATGGGAAGGGGTCTGCATGGCTGAAGGAACATGTTGTAGGGAAGGTAAGGTCTATTTTGTCTTGTATGGCAGCTAACAAGGTGCAAAGTCCCAGGGTCTTTAGGTCACAAGCAAGGTGTGATTGCCCTTCACAGATTTTCTTGGGATACGTGCCCCCCAGATTAGTTGTAAGAGTCCTTCAAGCTCTGAAGGTCCAATTTCCACCCTTCTCCTTCTGGGTCATGACATCTCTCAGCACATACCATCATCACCCAGAATGACCAAGGCTGAACGTTGGCCAGACACACAACTCATCCACCTGCAGCCATTGCTGGGTGCAGAAACACATCCCCAAGTGACACACAGGGAACACCTTCACATTGATTCCACAATAAGTATATTTTAGATGTTGTGCAGATAGCATGGAGCCACATTTTCTTATCTGGCAGCACTACAGCAACGCAATAAGAGCAATGGAGAAGCCATCATACGGCAAAGATCTGCCATCAGCTCCAAGGGTGCTCTTGTGCCCACCACGCCGCCTTGCTCCTGGTTCTCCAAGACTTCCCGTGGTCCTGGGAGTCCTCTTGGCTCCTCACAGCTTGTTGTGGAGGAAGGTCCAGAGCACGGTGCCTGCCACCCCTGCTGCCACCCCATAGCTGCCCCTCACGCTGCCCGCCGAGTTGACGTTGCAGAGGTTGGTGCTGCAGCAGGAGACGTTCCTGTTGCCCACGTTGAAGTCCTGGTAGCTGGATACACACGATGCATCACAGCCCTTGTTGATGATGTTGAAGAGCCCCACGATCCCTGGAAGGAAAGCAAGACCATGACAAGGACTCAGTGCAAGCCAAGCCTCGTGGAACCTCATGGGATTGTTCATCCTGGAGGAGAGAAGGCTCCAAGGAGACCTTCTTGCAGCCTTTCAGTACTTAGTGGCCTACAAGAAAGTTGGGGACAAGCTTTATAGTAAGACCTTTAGGTCAGGAGTGAGAGTGATGGCTTTTAAATAAAGGAGGGGAGTCTCAGAACAGGCATAAGAAGTTTTCTGCCCAGAGAGGTGGTCGATGCCCAACCCCTGGAACCATTCCAAGTGAGGTTGGATGGGGCTCTAGCTGAAGATGGGCTAGATAGCTTTTAAAAGTCCTTTCCAACCCAAAGCATTCTATGATTGTATGAACTGAATAATGATTTGTTATCTTTACCTGAGCTCACTTGGAAAAACAAGGTGTTTTTTTTCCCAACAGCTGCATATTTTACTGTCCCAGGTTGTATTTTTGGGGTGCAGAGGGGGAAGGGTTTCAATCCCCAAGCGGTTGCTTAAGGCAGCACGTTGCACAGCACAGTTCTCAGAGGTTTCCAAAGCATCACCAGCTACAGAAATTCTGATAATTTGATTATGAAAGTAGCCATTAACACCTCTGCTGGGGAGCTTAAGCTGCTGATGGGTGAGGAGCAAGCACGTGGGGCAATCCTTGCTCCTATCTCAGACATCCTCGTTCCATGGAACCTTTCAACACTTAAGGAAGTTGGGGAACAACAGCTATATGCAAATTTAGTGTGTGGGGCCAATGGGCTGTACAGGGTTGGCTCCCCTGCGTGTCAATGCACGGCCATGGGTTTGCTCATCTCCAACCAGGACAACACCTACTGGTGGTGTTGGATCTTCTGCCTGACAGAGATGAGCTTGAACGTGCCCCTGATGAGTTTTGTGCCCCACGTTTAAGAGCAACTGAGCTGTCACCACAGATCTGGGCATTTTTTTTTGCCAGATCTAGAAGGAGAGAATTAAATCATCATCTGTTAAAGGATTTGAGCCAGAGACAGTTGAAATCAGAGCTGGCTGTAGGTGGACCTGGGTGAAGTTCTATCCTTTCCATGGAATCCACCTCAAGTCAACTCTGTCATTGAATGCTCCTCTTGAATTCATGACTTGGTTTCCCCAGATTCAGCAACTCACATTTTAATTCATGTTCCAAATTTTTCAAAGCCATGAACTTATCTCTTGCCCTTGTAAGTAAACAATATTTTTTTTGTGTGTTGAGAGAGAAATAAACCCAGTTTTGTAGAGGTGAGAGACACTGGTGGGGATTTTCAAAGTCAAGTGGAGATCTGTTCCAGGCTCTGGTGTTTAATTCATGTTCCAAATTTTTCAAAGCCATGAACTTATCTCTTGCCCTTGTAAGTAAACAATGTTTTTTTTGTGTGTTGAGAGAGAAATAAACCCAGTTTTGTAGAGGTGAGAGACACTGGTAGGGATTTTTTTTTGCTCTGGTGTTGCACTGGCCACACTGCTCAGTTTTTATCAGGATCTATTAGCAAACACTGAGGAATTTATGGAGCTCAGCATCTACGTGCCAGTGTGGGGAGAGGACTTCATAGAATCATAGAATGTCCAGGCTGGAAGGGACCTCCAAAGGTCATCTAGTCCAACCCCTCTGCCATCAGCAGGGACATCTCCAAGTTACTCAGAGCTTCATCCAGCCTGATCCTGAATGTCTCCAGGGATGGGGGACTTGTGACAGCCAGCACCACCACCAAGGGACCAGCTATCACCAAGGGATGAACCTTTTTCTTCCATCATTTCTACTGAACATGTAAGTCACCCAAATGCTTTTCCATCACCTTTTCTTCCCAGGTGGTTTTTCTTTTCCTAAGTTTTTCTGGCCCACACCAGTTGGTTTATCTAGAGTAGGAGAGCCTGGCTTGGACACCTGAGGCTGGGAAGATGCTTGGCTCCTACACCCCAACTAAGATACTGCCCACCCCCACGTTGCCTTACTGATCACATCTGTCTTGCACAACTCCTTCTCCGTGCACTCCACTGCCTTCTGACAGTTGGCGTTGCTGAGCTGTGAGGAGCAGCTGTAACACTTCAGAGAAGAACCTGCAAAAGACCAAGAGGGATTAGGAGACAAATCTATTGGAAACTCTCCAGGGAATGCAGCTTAGGGCTTGCACTGGGAGACAAGATTCCTCTGGGTCCTGAAAGGAAGATAACACCTCTATCTTCTATTAACTTCTAAACTATTGTTTTTCCATTTTTTCCCCATTTTTGGTGGAGGATAATACACTCTCTTGAAGTGAGAGTCATGTCTTGAAGGTGCTGGAGATGTTTCAGGTGTAGTTATGGTGCAGTGAGGGAGCAAAAAGCTCTTCAGCTGGTCTCATGAGACAATGGGAAGTGCTTCCAAATGCCTTTTCCTCTACATTTGGGATGCTTAACTCGTTTCCTGTCTGGAATGGGCTTTTTATGGGATGAAGAGCCCCTCATTCCAAGAAGGACATGGGGGTGTTGGAGCATGGCCAAAGGAAAGCAATGAAGGTGGGGAAGGATCTAAAGAACAAGTCTTGTGAGGAGCAGTTGAGGGACCTGGGGTTTTTGAACCTGAATAAGAGGTGTCTCAGGGGACACCTTCTGGCTGTCAACAACTCCTTGACAGGAGGTTGGAGCCAGTTGGGGGTTGGGCTGTTTTCCCAAGCAACAAGGGACAGGACAAGAAGAAATGGCCTCAAGTTGCCCCAGGGGAGGTTGAGGTTGGATATTAGGAACAATTTCTTCCCCTGGAGGGTTGCCCAGGGCTGTGCCAGGCTGCCCAGGGCAGTGGTGGAGTCCCCACCCCTGGAGGGGGTTCCAAGCCGTGGAGATGTGGGGTGAGGGACACGGGGCAGTGGGGACCTGGCCATAATGGGGGAACAATTAGACTTGATGATTTTAAAGGTCTTTTCTAACCAAAATGATTCTCTGAGGGGCTGAAGTCCCCAGGAGGACAAGTTGATATCATTTGTCTGTCTCTTGAGACATCATTGGCATTTTACCAGGGGGGTTTCTCAGCCTGAGCTGAGGCATTGCCAGGATTGGGTGAGGAAGGAAAGGACCAGAGGGGAGAAGGGGGAAGGGAAGGAGGGAGCAGCCAGTTTGCAAAGTCTCTTCCAGCCTCTTGTCTCAGTCCGAGTCAACACAAGACACGTGCTCTCCATCACCCCCTCTTAGAAAGCAAAGTGCAAACAAAGCTTTCACATCCCTCCCAAAACCAGGGCAGCCCGTTTCCACCCCCTCATGGACATGCCACTCCGTGGGGGAAGCAAACCAGGGCTGTTAACATCTTCTGTGCTGCTACGTGCCTCAAACAAAGGCAGGATACCTCTTGGAGCTTGCAGGGGGTTTAGCCCTGATGAAAAATAGCCCCCAGAGGATCAAGAGCAGGGTGCAATTCCCTGTTCCTGCCACCTCCCCATGCCCCAGGGCATCCCTGGACTCTTGCAAGTGTCAGAGGTTACATTTTTTATCTCTCTATCACACAGACACATATACTTTAACCCCATGACCACCAGGGTTATATCCTGAGTCCCTCAAATCAATACCTTAATGCCTAAAATACTCTTTTTAGGACACAAGAAAACCCTGTTTAGAGATCAGTATTATCCAGAGAAGGAACAATTGGTCTCCTTCTGTCCAAGCTGCCCTGGAGTAAATGACCAGTCACATAGATAAGGGGCCAACCTTCAGTTTCTCTGTAGTGCTGCACTCTGCTCTCAATATATCTGACTTTTAGTGCAATAAAAGCCAAATTTGAAGCCCTCTGATGGAAACTGGCAGAGGAGAAGGTCTGGCTAGGACTGTAGAAGACCCTTGTCAGCCTGTTCCTTAAGCATCCTCTGCTGACTGAGGAACATTTCTGTTCAGATCTGCTTTTCCTCTGCTAATAGAAGCTGGTTTAAACCCATTTTTTCTCTACAAAAAGCTGACATTGTCTGAATCCCACCCATCTGGTTTATAAAATGACATGCCGTGGTGTTCTCCCTTTATTGTCCCCCTAAAATTCTGCAGAATGAGGCCACTTTGGAAACAAAGAGTCAGAAAACGAGTTGGGACAAAACCTTTGCAGAAATATTTCAATTTTGATAGCCTGGGAAGAAGAGAGAGAATCCTCCCAGCCCACTTGAAAAAAATAACCCTCCACGTACATAAATACATGGTCTGCCTTAAAGAACTTTAATTTCAATTAAAATCATTGTTGTATAGGTTTTATCTTCCCTGGAAGCTGCTCTACCCACCACCAGGATCACACCATCAGTAGGGTGGGATTATAGATGTTTTTCTTTCATGCAGCACCCAGGACATCCCACCAAACCCCAAATGTCTCCATAGAACAAGTCCATCATCATTTCTTCCCTCACCAAACCTCATCATGAGTCTTTTCTTCTAGCTGAGGATCCTCTGGAGGGGGACACGGGGCAGGTTCTCCATGTGTCTTACCTGAGTCCAAGCACAGGACCGCTCCCAGCAGGAGGAAGAAGCAAGCCTTCATTTTGGGAGAGCTTCTCTGATGCTGAATATGGGCTGCTGCCTCTTGGGGCAGTTTATATCCCGTGGGAGGCAGCGATTGGGCATGCCCAGAAGGTGACTTTGTGAAGGCACCTGAAGCGAGGCTGCTCGCTGGACCAAGAGAGGGCTTGGTCTGTGGTGGGGCTATTTGCATGAGGTGCCTCTCCTAGGTGACTCTGGGAGCTACCAGCAGCTCCTCACCACCCCTCCGGCCCCACCTTGCCTCCTACCCTTGGGCAAAGCGTTCACAGGAGTGGAAAACCTCCCAAATTCTTGAGCACGAGGGTGGCCTGCTGCGTTTCTCCAGAGTTCAGCCAGGCTGGAGCCTGGGAACAAGGCTCTCCACGCCCCCCCTTGTTGTCCTGAGTGGAGCTATTGTGTTTAAATTGAGGACAAAACATTCTTTTAATCAACAACTCCAGCTATTTAGCTGCACGTTTGAGTGTCTCTGTGGCACTCAGGGCATGTTGTAGCAAGGTATTTGGGCAAATCACAGCGAGGTGGCCTCTTGGAGGTGCCCTGTTTGCCTTTATTCATGTGTATTGCTCGTAGTCTAGTAGAAGACAACGGCCAATCCAAATGATTTGAGGCCCATCAAAACCAAAGGGACTTCCTGATGGCTTTGTCTGAGGTTGTTTTTCTCTGCCACGTTTGCTCTGTGGCATGTTTCTCTTTGTCTGCCACAGTCTCTCAGTCTAGCCTAGGTTGGGCACAGCCTTGACCCTTGAACTCTCATGTTCTGTAAACAATTCCAGGCTTGTCAAAAAGGAAAACAAAATATGCCACTTCTCATGGCAGAGGAGAGTGAGTTCAGCCACATTCCAAACTGAAGGGCAAATGTTTGCTTTGGTGGGTTGACTGGAGACCTCCCCCATCCCTCACGTCCTTTGGCCACTTCTCACTGAACACCGGCGTAGAAGAGAAACCTGCTGCTAAATTCTGGTTTCTTGCTTTATTTAGTTGTTTTTTTATCTCAAATCTCAGCAATTTAGTGCTTCACAGCAACAGCCTGCAAGGATGGACTTGTTCTCCTCCAGTTTGGCTCTTAGGACACCAGGCACTTCTCCAAATTGAATGGAGAGAGTGTTGGCATGTTGGTGGATCACTGCTCTGGATCTGGGGCTGTGGGATGAGTGGTGGAAGCTCAGTTGACCTCAGTCTGCTGGAGTTAATGAACCCTGGGGCAAGGGGTGGTTTTGAGAATCCAGTTTCCTCTGTGGGGATCTTAAGTGCTTCCCCTTGGACTCTTGAACTTCTGTTTAAAAAGCTAAAACCAAACCAAAACAGAACAACCAACCCAACACCTTCTTCCTTGTGTCTATTTACTTTTGATTCATCCTATTTCTACAGCCCTTCTCATTTGCAGCCAACTTTGATGGAATAGCTGGATAAAAAAAGGTGGCAATAAGTTCTCAGGCTCTGATGTCCCTCACTGAGAGATATTTAAGGCTGTTTCCCTTTTTTATTTTTAATCCCTTATGATTGTCCCTGTAGGGTTGGGTTCTTTGTGTTAGGGCAGAATTAGGGACCAGGGAAAAACAGAACCTGGTGACCCCATCAAATCCACTCAGGCCTTGAATGAAACAGTTCATCCTTTAAGCAACTCATTGACAAGCAAATGGGAGTGCCCTTTTCACCCTCAGCAGCCTGACCTGCTGCCAAACCCCTAGAATATCTTTTTTTTTATTCTTTTCCTGACAGCATCAGGGCTGCCAGGGAAGAGCAGGACTCATGGTAGTGTCAAAAGGACACAGACACTAAGAGCCTGTCTGTGCCTGGCTGCTGGATGAGGACTCAGTTATTTCTACAGCCACGCAGCAGTTGTTGCTTCTCACTGGTCCTTTTGGAGCATTTATTTGCAGTTCCTGCTCGGCTCCTGAAGATGGCAAACGTGCCCTGTTGTAATTATTACCTACACCTTAACATGCAGTTGTCCAGAGGATTCTGTGTCTGTGGGATTTTTAGTTCCCTGATGTTACAAAATCCCAAGTTCATCAAAGTGTGTGAACGTGAACATGGGTTTCCCCTGGGAGTCTAAAGATGTCTAGAAATCCTTTGGGTTCTCATTTTTCTTTTATTTAAATGCTATTTTATATTATCCAAGCAGATTCTTGATGGATCATAGAATGAGCAAATGTGTGGGGTTGGAAAGGACCTTTCAAGGTCATCTAGTCCAACCCTTCTGTTGTCAGCAGGGACTTTGACTGCAGCAGGTTGCTCAGAGCCCTGACCAACTTCACTTGGAGTGGTTCCAGGGATGGGGCATTGACCACCTCTTGGGGCAACTTGTTCTTGTGTTTCACCACCCTCATTCTAAAAAAAGTCTTCCTTATTCTTCCATTGTTTCTTCTAGCCCAAATCTCCTCTTTTTTTTTTAATTTAAAACCATCACTGTGCTAAAAAGATGCCTTAATTCAAGCCAGAATTAAAGAATAAAGAGGAGCTGCTCTCCAAGGCTGCCTGGCACTGAAGAGAGGCCACCAAGCAGCTTGCTCAGCATGGTCGTGGCTTGCAGGATGTTTCTAAGCACGTGTGTGGAGGTTGCAATGGGGCTGCAGAGAGAATCTGGTTGATTTGCCCACCCCTGGAAGGTGTTTGGTATGTGTGCAGAGAAGGAGTTGGTGCTGTCTGCAGTGAGGTCTGTACATCAGAACCACTTTGGTTGGAGAAGACCTCTAAGATCATCGAGACCAACCGTTAACCCTACTCTACAAACCCACCTTTGAGCCATACCCCTGAGCACCACATCTCCACGGCTTCTAAACACCTCCAGGATGGTGACTCAACCACCTTGAATCTTCCAAGCATCTTCCAAGGCCTGACATCTGCTCAGGGATGGATCCTACATGAGGCATGTGATTGGATAGACAGGAAGATGGATATATAAGGGGAGAGAGAGGTTCAAAAACGAGCAGCTACACAGATGTCCACAGAGATGGATGGCTAGCTAGCAGTCAGGAGGAGCCAGAGTAGCTGATGCACCCACTTCTAACCTTGTACGGGCTCTGCTGGTGACAAAAGGCCACAGAATGTCCCCTACCTCAGCCTAAGACATTTCTCACCCAGCTCCCAGCTGTTTTCCACTCTCCTGAGCCCATGTTTTGGGGCAGACAGCCATGATGTTGGCCCAGCAGCAGGAAACGTGTTTCCAGCTGCTCCAGGGCTGTCCTCGACTGCCAGCAGAGAAGCTCCAGCTGCTACATCTGTAGCTTAACACTGGTTTATGTGGTGGTGTAGCTCATTTGAGGAGGATTTACAGCTAGTTTTACTGTTCAAGTAAGCTCTGGAGCACATGGAGGCAAGGCTAGGCTGGCTGGTCTTCCAGAGTCCAGCCACAGAGACCAGAGCTGTCATTAAGAGCAGAATATTGAGCTCTGAAGGTCTTTGGGTCTCTGTCCCTAGGCTGCTGTGGGACCTCTGACATGTGCCTGTCCTTCTTTGTGTCTCTTCCTCTTATGGCAAACAGGGCTCGTGTCTCCTGCACCTCAAAGGGAGTGTTTTGAGCTCTGTGGGTGCAAACAAGTACAACCAACAAGCCTGAGAAAGGTTTAATGAGCAAGAAACACATTTGACCTTGAGTATTTCTACAAGAGTCCAGGCACAGACTCAAACATCCAACTCCCATTTGGGATTTCAGGTTTCAGAAGCTGGCTTGAGCAGCCTTGGGGAAAAAAAATCACCTTGGCATCCCACATGTCCTTGCTGATAACCACCAAATCAACTCAGGGATGCAAAATGGTCCCACCACGGTGCTGGTCTCGTCTTGGGGAGCAAATTGTGCCTGGAGGAGCTTCTGAGAGCTGAAGGGGTTGGAGATCCCCATAGGGTGGTGCTGTTGCCACGCTGCTGGTGCACAGACCTCTCCTTGTGTGGGAGCAGCCCAGACTGTTTGTTTCAAATCTCTGCGACTTCAGAGCATCAAAAACGCATTTGACATTTTTTTTTGGGGGGGTTATTTTGCTAATTGCTGAGCTCTTTGGGTTGTTAAAGTCTCGGGGTGTTGGAACCCTGCCAGCTTCTACTGGCGATGCCTCGTGCATCTCCAAGTGGTTTGCAGGGGCAAAGGAGTTCATTTTCCTAAGCCTACGCCTTGGAGCTGGGGTGAAGTGTGGGGAGAGTGATCACAAAGCAGTTCTGTGCTTGCCCTGCCCTCACAAAATACTTTCTTGCCCCCTCATGCACCAGGAGTTGAAGTTTCCTGTGGACAGATGCTGCCAAAGGTAGGTTGAATTTCCTGAGGTCACACAACAGGGCGACATCAGACCTCAGACCAGGACCCACAAGGACCCTACCTGCTTCCTTGTCCTTTCTCTTCATCAGGAAAACTATTTAATTGCTCTAGACCCCCTAGGAAACCCCAGAATCATGATGGAGAAGAACCTGAGATTTCCAGTCTAGCTACTTCTAGGAGTAGAAGAAGAATAGAACAGTAGAAGAGGGTAGATGTGATGGCTGGACACACCAAGCTCCACCCAGGACCAGCATGGACACTTGTTCCTCATGTGGCAGTGGTTGCATTCAATCATGGCCATTTCTGGTCCTCTTTTGTCCTTTTTCTCCTCATTCTTCAGGTCAGTAATCAACTTTGACACAGCTTAGGGAGGAAACTACAGCACAAGAGCTCAACTCATGGTCTTCCATAGGAGGAAAGTGTCTTTTTGAGGAGACATCCATCAGGGCTGTTTTGTGACTTCATTGTGAGTCAGCTGACAAAGTGTTTTCTGGGTGGATTTTGCTGATGTTGCTGATAAATAAATATTCTGCAGAAATAATAAAGCTGTTTTAAGTCCAGGATGGATTTTTCCAATCAAAGCCACGTGGAAAGTGGAAGATAATCTAGAATAGCCAGAGTTGGGTGGTTAGGACGTGTAATTAAGATGCAGGAGATACAGGATCAGTCCTTTTAAGTCTTAATTCCTTTTGCTTGAGCAGATGCTCTATCCACAGACACTGGAAAATCTGTACTTGTCTTTGTCATCCCTT